TTTTGAAGGAGTAAGTTTGAGATGGTGAGTCTTCCAACTTTTTTGTTTTAATATTGTTTTGGCTTTTGGGGGGTCCCTTCCTGCTCCATGTGAATTTGAAGGTCAGGTTTTTCTTTTCCGCAAAAGAAAGGCCATTGGAACTTTGGTAGGATTGTGTCAGGTCCAGGATCGCTTTGGGCAGCGCATGGGAGCGCTCCAGAGAAGCAGAGCCGTGTGTGTGTGTGTGTGGTGTGTGTGCGCGCGTGCGTGTGTAAAGAGGCCCTTACTGTGAGGAGTCGGCTCTCGGGCAGTTGCGGGGGCGGGTGCTTCCCGGGGTGCGTGGGAGGAGCTGGCAGGCTGGAGAGCCGGCGGCTCGGTTCCTGTCCAAGGCCGGCAGGACTGGGACCCAGGAGCAGCTGGTACTTCAGTTCACATCCAAAGGCAGGAAAAGGCTAGTGTCTCAGCCTGAAGGCCGTCAGGCGGGAAGAACCCTCCTTCCTTGGGGGAGGTGCAGCCTTTCTGTTCTGCCCAGACGGTGGGGGGAGGGCCCCCGACACTGCGGGGGGGGCATCTGCTCTGCTCAGAGCCCACCGATCCAGTTGCTAGTCTCACCCAGAAACACCCTCCCGGAAACACCCGGAATAACTGCTGCTCGCCTCTGGGTGCCCCACGTCCCGTCCGAGGGGACAGACAGAATCAACCGTGACCAGTAGTTTTTGCCTTCGTCACGATGTGAAGTCTTCCTGTCCATGCACGTAGTTTGGTTTGGAACGAACAATGTCCTGTTCTTAACTGCGTCTATTTTTTTTTTAACTTTTAGCGGTTGTTTTGCAGTCTCCCGTGAACAGGTCTTGCACCGCACTCACCGGTTGAGTTTCTTCCTGGGCGTTTTATGCTTCCAGATGCTTTTGTAAGTGGAGCTTCCTTTCCCAGTTGTTTATTGCTGCGTAACGGAGACCCGAGTGATGTTTCTGTGCCGATTCCGCGTCCTGCAACGTGAATGAACTCATTTATTAGCTCTAGTTGTTTTCTTGTGAATTCTTTGGGGTTTTCTATACATAGGGTCATGACAGTTGTGAGGAGAGGTACTTTTACTTCTTCCTTTCTAATTTGGATGCCTTTGATTTCTTTTTCTTGCCCGATTGCTCTGGCTGGGACCTCCAGGGTGATGCGGAACAGCAGTGGCGAGAGCAGGACCCTCCTTCCTGGCTCCAGGTCGGGGGGAGCCCGCAGTCTCCATCGAGTGTGGGCTCCTCACCTCCGCGCAGCTCCTCACGGATACGCTGCATCGTGTCCAGACACTTGCTTCTATTCCCTGTTTTGTGAAGGGTTTTTTTTTTTTCTTATCATGAAAGGGTGTTGGATTTTGTCAGATGCCTTTTCAGCATGAATTGGGGTGATCGTGTGTTTTCCCCCTTGTTGTTTTAAAGTGGTGCATTGCACCGATCGGTTTTCTTATATTGAACCACCCTCGCCTTTCTGGGGTAAATCCCACTTCGTCGTGGTGTATAATGCGTTTTATCAGCTGTTGGATTCAGTTTTCTAGCGTTTTGTTGGTAATATCCTTCATTTCTGAAGGATAGTATTGCTTGAGACAGGATCTGGTGGTTGTTTTTTTTCAGTCCTCGGAATGTCACCCCATTGCTCTGTGTCCTCCACGGTCTCCGATGAGATGTAAACTATTTTATTGAGGGAATTTTTGTACGTGAGGAGCCTCTTTTGGTGCTTTCAAAATTCTCTTTCATCAGTTTGATCAGAATGTGGGGATCTCTTGGAGTTTGTCCTGAATGGAGTTTGTTGAGCTTCCTGGAGGTGCGGATTAATATTTTAAACCAAACATGGGAAGTTTCTGTTCATTATTTTTTCAAATGTTCTTTCCACCCCTTTCTCTCCTTCATCTCCCTTCTGGGACTTTTATAACATACAAGGTGTGTGCGAGGAAAGTCCAGCCATTGTCAGTATAACGAGAACGTGTGTGTGTGTGTGTGTGTGTGTGTGACATCGCTGCGGCCTGGGCGCCGAGGAGAGTGGCCTGGAATGCATGTGCATGAACAATGACGACCCCACCGCACTCGTCGGTGGGGGGGCGGCACATGCCGCTGAGTGAGCCTGTGTGCCGTGTGGCCGTCGCATTCAAACGACTGAGCCAGCGGAGCCACAAATCTGCATCCGAGTTTGCTTCAAGCTTGGACCTTCCTCCACGGAAACTGTTCTGATGACTCAGAGGCCGCGGCTGTGGGCACCTGGTGACCGGCAGCTTCCTCACGACAACACGCCTGCTCATGCATCACGTCTCGTGCAGAGTTTCTTCTGAAAACATCTGAGCACCCCAGTGACTCAGCCCCCCTACAACCCAGACGTGGGGCCCTGCAACTTCTGTCTTTTCCCCAAACTAAAAGCACCTTTGAAAGGGAAGAGACTTCAGACCATCGATGAGATTCAGGAAAATACAACAGGGCAGCCGACGGCTATTGGGAGAACCGTGTGAGGTCCCAGGTGCCTCCTTTGAAGGGACCGAGGCGTCATTGCCCTGTGTGCAGTGTCTCTTGTCTCTTGTCTCTTCTTCGATGAACGTCTCGGTTTTTCACAGGGTGCGGCTGGGTTCTTCCTGGACAGGCCTCGTGTGTGCCGGCGTGACCGGTGGCGCCAGGCGGTGTCTGAGGCCCTGCCCATTGTTTTCGCCGTTTTCCCTTCGTCACTCACACTGGGGCCGGCGCAGTTGCCGCACCTCGGAATCTCCGGGGAACGGTCTTCGCGTCCCCGTCCCTGTCTCCTGCCCGCTCGGTTCTGCCGCCGCCGAGCCCCCACGGAGGGCTTTTCGTTTCAGTTGCTGTGCTTTTTTCTAAGTCCGGAATTCGCACTCGATTTCTGCTAAAGCCCGTCTCTGTCGATATCCTGTTTCTCGAGACACTGCGCTGGCGGCCTCTCCCCGCTCCCCGGCCGCGGGCGTCCTTGTCGCTGGGCCCTGGGCCGACTGTCCGCCTGCGCGGCCCCCAGCACGCCCGGTGCCGGCTCTCCGTGGAGGAGGGCGCCCCCGCTCACGCCGTCTTTCCGGTGCTTCCTCCTGCCTCCCACCTCCGTGTGGGAAACCGGGCGTCTGGGTCGCAAGGACGGGGCTGGTCAGCTGCCGTCTGTGCGGCAGCTCCGAGCGTGGAGGTGACTCTGGACAGGTTCTGTTCCTCGTCCGTCCGTCCGTCCATCCGCCCTGGACTCGCTCCGGGCATCACAGCGCTGCAGAGCCTGCCTCCCCAGCGTCTCCTCCCAGCCCTTTTGTTAGTCTGCTGTTTGCCCCGACTCTGATCGGTCACCCCAGGCAGCGGCGAATGATACTCCGGCCTGTAAATGTTTTAGTCACTCCCCCACCCAGCCCGGCCAGGCCCCCAGCAGCCGTCTCTGCCCTCTGAGAGGATGCTGGGTGGGTGCGGTGAGGCCCGGTCTTGGGGCCCGCGATCGGCCAGAGCAACCAGCGGGAGCCGCTGCACTTGAGGTCCTTTCGGCTCCCCGAGCGCCCCTCCCCCTGCCAGGCACCTGCGCGGGTCACAGGCCTCCTCCGGGGGGCGGGCCAGGGCGAGGCTGGGGGGCCGCCGAGTGCCCCGAGCTCCCCGCTCTCACGGAGACGAGGTTGCTGCCCCGGCCGCGTGCTCCTCTGACCCCTGCAAGCTCCTGCTTCGTCTCCCAGGTCCCAAACACGCGGTTCCTGGCAGGCGCGCCAGTGTTGCCCTTGCTCTCGTGGAAGGGCGGGCTTCCGGGGTGTCTCACGCAGGCAGGCGTGGCTGCCGACCTCACTCGCCGGGACGTCTGGTGCTGGCGGCGTGGCCGGTTCAGAGTTGGCCCGGCTCCCAGGCTCCCCGCCCCCGATCCCGGAGAAGAGAGCTCCAAGCAGCGCGTGCTGGAGAGCTTCAGGAGCACCCGAGCTGCTGCCGTGCCTGAGCCGAGGGTGGGGGCCCCACCCCCAGGGCCCGTGCTCCTGAGCCCAGAGCTCCCTCTCGCTCGGGCGCGACAGGTGGGCGCACGTCTCACCTGGGGACCCCAAGACTGTCCCCGCCGTCCTGCGTGTTCGCGGAGGCGAGGAGGCGCTGCTTGCTCATCACCTGGAAGCCAGATCCTCGTGGTGACCGCCGGTGGCTGGTGGGGGCCGGGGCGTCGGGACCCCGAGAGCACTGCCCGCCCACCAGTGCCGGCACCTGCCCCCCTGGCTCACTCCTGCCGTCCTGGGGCCACCTGAGGCCGCCCTCATCGGCCGTCCCATCCACACGGGCGGCCGAGGACGGCTCCCCCGGGAGACGGTGCGTTGCGGGTCTGCTGTCCTGGTCGTGCACTGACCTGGCACACGCCTTCCACACGCAGCTGCACGTGTCAGGTGATACATGTGTTAGGAAGGACGCTGCCAAGGCAGGGCTCAGAGCTGACCCTCCCGAGCTCTGCCCAGCGCACCCCCAGGAGGGAGGCAGGTGTCGGAGCCGCTGCCCTGGGGTGACCGCCAGCCCCGCCCTGACGGCGGCCCAGGAGGGGCTGTCTCCGTGCTCGGCCGCAGTGACACTGCCGCCGACCCCCAGCGCAGGGCACACGGCCCCTCCCCGCGGAGCGGTCTGGGCGGCCTTGTCCGAACCCCCATGAGCCCGTCTGCGGGGCTCATCTCTGCCTCGTGTCTGTGTGTCTGTCCTCTGCCCCCCCTGGCGTTTGTCAGTGAACTTGAAGTCCGCGGATGCGGGCGGGTTCCTCAGGGCTGTCGTTTGTCCATGCCGGGCCGTCCCGCGTGCGCTCCCACACGGCGTTCAGGTTCGGCTCGTTCATTTCTGCGGGAAGGCCCAGGCCTCCGAGGTGGGCGGGGCGGGTCTCTCGGGCTCAGCTGCGGCTCCAGAGCCGTGTGTGTGTGTGTGTGCGTGTGCGCATGCACGTGTGCGTGCGTGTGTGCATGTGTGTGCGTGCGTGTGTGCATGCGTGTGCGTGCGTGTGTATGGTCCCGTGGCGCGGGACGGCGGGACAGCGCTCGACGCCCTTGTTGCCCTTTCCTCCGGCAGGACCTCTCTTCCGCACCATGGAGCCGAGCAAGAAGACGGACGCCGCGGGCCCGCTGCAGACCAACCCGCCGCTCAGGCTGCACCCGGACCGCGGCGCGCCCGTGCTGGCGCCCGAGCAGGGCGGCTACAAGGAGCGCTTCGTGAAGCCCGTGGAGGACAAGTACAAGTGCGAGAAGTGCCGGCTGGTGCTGTGCAACCCGAAGCAGACCGAGTGCGGGCACCGCTTCTGCGACAGCTGCATGGCCGCCGTGCTCAGGTAGGCCCGGGGCCCCCGTGCGTGGCCCCCGTGTGCGGCCGCGGCCCCGAGTGCCCCTCCGTGTACGACCCCGGAGGCAGCGAGCTCTGCGGCTCTGAGACGACCCGAGTGGACACGTCGCTGGGGGAAGCCCCTCAGAGGCTGAGGGGGGCAGCTCTGGGCACTGCCGGGGCAGGAGGGCAGGCGGGCGGGGCTGCTTCTCCTCTGGCTCCGCCCCTTCTGCCCCTGCGGGCGCAGGGCCCTCCCAAGGCGAGGCGGCTCAGCCCCGGGGTCTGAAGATTCCTGTGGGGAAAACGGGTCAGCACGAGCTCCACGTCAGCGGGTGTCGTCTGCCCAAAGGAGCTGGTGCTGCAGAAGGTGCCCACGTCCTCCCCCGCCTCCCTCCAGGTGTGCGGAGCCTGCCACCTGCGCCACCTCCTCTCCCGGGAGGCGAGTGCGGACCCGCCTTCCTCTCCTTCTCCGGGGGTGGGGGGAGGTTTCCGGCACCGGGCCCAGCACAGTGCAGCTCGGGCTCCGGGGCGAGCTTAGGGGCGGGATCGGCCCAGGAGACGGGTGCTGTCAGCCCCTGCGGCTGCGGCCCCTGCAGGGCACTGCCCTGCCCCACGGCGGGCCCGGCTCCCGTGCCCTGGGTGCCCACCCTGAGGCGCCTTCGTGGAGCCGGTTTTGGTTTCTGAAATAAAATTTCACTTTTAACTGCAAGGGGCTTTCCAGCGGGGCCTGACCGAGCGCTTCTGCACAACTTCCTTATGGAAAGTTACCGCTGAACCCGTTTTCCCCCCTTTTCCTCCGGCCTCACTCGTCGGCCCCGCCCGCCCTGGCACCCCCGAGTCCTGGCTGCAGCCAGCGGGGAGCGGGGACCCCTGTGCTGACTAACGGGCCTGTGTCTCCCCGCAGCTCCGCGGGCCCCAAGTGCACGGCGTGTCAAGAAGGCATCGCTAAAGACAAGGTATTCTCGGGTTTCCCTGGGTGGTTCTGCGCGGGGTGGACGCCGGGTGGACGCCGGGTGTCGTCTCGGTGTGGCCCCTGGTACGGTGGGGCCGAGTCAGTGCCCGGGTCATGCCGGCACCTGGACGCACCAGGGGGGTCTGCTCTCTGCAAGGTCTTCACCCCCGGCAGGTGCGTAGGCACCTGTGCTGTCGCCTGGCGTCCCGCCCCCTTGTGGCCTCTCACAGTCATTGCACACGGCCGACGCCAGCCGCCCCCCCCCCCGCCCCCCCCTGCCCCCCCCATGACTGTGCCTGCCAGGGAGAGCTCACAGGTGGCCCTCTGGCTTCCCTCCTGCGACCCAGGTCCCCTCTCGCGGCGTTTCTGTGGTCACTTACGCACTGCCGGTACACTGGGAGTTTGAAGTGACTCATTGAAGTACTTAAAATATCAATAAAAATCTGTGGTTCCTATGCTTTGATTAATGAACCTGACAGTTTTTTTTAAATGCAGGTCATTAAACTGTACAGTAAAGTCCCCTCTCGGGGGCTCTCCCGTCTAAAGCTCGTGGCTGCCGGGCGCTGGGGGGCAGCTGCCACCGGCCCCGGGCTGCAGGGCAGGGCGCAGCGCAGCACGGACACAGAATTGGCCAGGTGCCCCTCCCCCTGCTCTCTCTGAGCGTTCACCTGCTCCTAAAAACTCCAGCTGGGAACAGGGAAGGGGTTGTTTTTAAGAAAAACAAGTCACTCCACTCCACCCCTTTCCTTAACGAGGTCGCTGACCTGTCACCTTGTTAGCGCCACCCTGACCCCTGCGGCTGAGAGGGCCGGCACCGCGGGCGGAGGTGGCCTCTGGGTGCCTCCCTTCCGTGCTGCAGCGTCGTTCCCCTGCTCCGTGGCCTCGTCGCCGAAGAAAACTGCGTGTGTCCCCAAGAGTCCCACACGAGGCGGCTAGGGGGACTGGGCCCTGGGGGACTGAGGCCGGTCACTGGGGATGCGGGGTCCCCCCCCCCAACGCAGCCTGGGACCCCGGCGGCGAGTGGGCGGAGCCCCGAGTGCTGACGCCTCCGTCGCCGCTGTGTCCTCCGCCTGAGAGTGAAACTCAGACGACTCACGAAACGTCGACACAAAAAGGGAGCTCACTTCTTACCAGGGAAAAACACCTGTTTTGTCGGCTTAAAGTGTCTGACATTACGACCTTTGTAAAGAAACGAAGCCACGTCCGTCCCAGTCCGCGCGGCCCGGCTGGCGGACGTCCCGCGCTCCAGAGCCGCGTGGTGTGGGAGGCAGCCAGCCGGTGTCGCTCTCCCCCGCCCCCCGCTCTCAAACGGACAAACGTTCCTTTAAAGTTTTTAGAAAGTGTACACAGTCATTCTTCAACACAGGATTAGATTTGACTCCAAATAAGTTTATTTTTAACTCGGCAGCCGTGGACTCTCTCTGCCTCTGCAGTGGAGGCGGGCGCGAGGTCCCGGCCGGGCTCCGCCTTCGCCGCGGCGCCCGTGGGCGTTGCTTAGAGTCAAGTGCCTGCGGGCTCGGACGGCAAGGCTGTCTTCTCAGGGGGAAATAAAATTAAAGAAAGAAGGTTTTCATTTTGAAAAGGAAACATTTTTATTATTGGATCAACCTCAGCCTGCAATGTGTGTTTAAAAGAAGGTGTTTTTTTTTACTTTTTAAAAGATTTGACTTATTTATTTTTAGAGAGACAGGGAGAGAGCCAGCAGTGTGAGAGAGAAGCATCGGTCAGTGCCTCTCGCAGGCCCCCCGGCCAGGCCGGCGCCCACAGCCCAGGCGTGTGTCCTCACTGGGCGTCAGACACGTGGCCCTTCCGCTTTGCGGGATGACTCCAACCCACGGAGCCCCACTGGTCAGGGCTGAGAGAGGGGTTTTTCTGGTATTTTTCTGGCAGGGTATTTTGGTGGGAAAATGAGTCGTGAGTGACTTAATCAGGAGAAGGAACCAAAATAAATGTTTCGCAAACCATCCTCGAGATGTCGTCTCGTACGGCAGGCCCTGAGCAGGTCCCCTCTGCCCCGGCGGCCCCTGTCGGTGCCGGCTGGCCCCTAGCAATGTCCCGAGATTGTCACGGCGACTCCGACGTGCCGGGGGCTCCATCAGGGGCTCCAAGGGTGCCGTGTGACCTGTGTTCTTGTGGCTTTTCTAGTACAAGACCACACAATTGGCTTGTGTCCCTTAGAGTGGGGCAGCTTCCTCCTCCTCCTCCTCACGGCATTAGGAATTAAGAGGGTGCTTCTCGCCCTCTGAGGCCACTTAGAGACGCTTTCAGGGCTCTCTTAGAGTGGCTCTGCGTTGCCCAGGGTGGCAGCGGGCGGAGGTTAAGAAACACTAATCCTCTGAAATCGCCGACTGTCTCCCCCGTCCAGGTGTTCAAGGATAACTGCTGCAAGAGGGAGATCCTGGCCCTCCAGATCTACTGCAGGAACGAGGGGCGCGGCTGTGCGGAGCAGCTGACGCTGGGCCACCTGCTGGTCAGTCCCGGGGGGGACGCGGCGGCGGGGGGGGCGTCCCTCAGAGCGCGCCCCGACGGGAGAGCGGACGCAGCCACCCGGGGGTGGGGCACCGTCCACGCTGTGGTCAGCAGCGTTCGGGCCTGGCTGTCGAGCTGCGCGGCCTGGTTAGGGCAGACAGGAGTCTGCGTGGGGCTTTGATTTGGAAGGCCCAACAAAAATCTCTTTTCTCTGTGACCGTCGCCTTCTGCATAACTCCCTGGGTTCCTTGTCCAGAGCGGGGTGGTCGGGGTGACCGCCGACCAGGGCAGGAAGTGCGGCATCCCGTAGCACACGTGTCGCCCTTCTCCGTGAGGAGCCGGTCTGACGGCGGCCGACACGCGTCTGCGGGGTTCGCTGGCGCCGCGCCTGCAGCCCGGTGCTTCCGGTGGCGGCGGCGCCGATCCGACTCGCGCGTGGTCTGTTGCAGGTGCACCTGAAGAACGACTGCCAGTTCGAGGAGCTGCCGTGCGTCCGCGCCGACTGCAAAGAGCGGGTCCTGAGGAGGGACCTGCGCGACCACGTGGACAAGGCCTGCAAGTACCGCGAGGCCACGTGCAGCCACTGCAAGAGCCAGGTCCCCATGATCACGCTGCAGGTGCGCCCCGCCGTGCCCCCGCCCGCCCCCGGCTCTGCCCGCGCGGCCCGGCGTCTGCTCGCCCGGCCCCCGCGGGAGCCGGGAGCGAGCGCAGGAAGCGAGCAGCCGTGCCCACCTGAGCTGGCTTCAGCGTCGGGCCGTACTTGGTTTCCCCGTTTCCGTTCACGTAACCAACGTTCTCGTTGTCTCGGTTGACTGTCGTTTGGGCTGCCAACAAATGAAGACTCGTTGTTCAAAAAAGGTAGCATTTTTCACTCGTCTCAGAGAGTGGCCCAAATTCTTGTTACGTCAGTCCCTGTCTTGGCCGCTCCGTGACAGCGACCGCTCAGCAGGGTGAGCTATCGAGGTGCAGCCGGCCATCTCGCAGAGAGATGGGAACTCGGCGTTTTTTCCGAGCCCCGGTCATTTTGGCGTGGTTCGGCGTCGTGCCCGCGGCAGAGTCAGATCCCTCGCCTGTGAGTGACAGAGAGAGCGAGCCGCTGGGGGTGGGGACTCTCAGAATGAGTCCCTCTGTCGCGGGGATCTGGGTGAAGTGCCGCTCTCGGGGCTGTGGGTTTCACGGTGAAGCTCGCCGTCCGGGGGTGGGGACCGTGAGCAGGCGGACGCGCAGAGTGTGACGGCGATCGGCGCCGCGTGAGCCCGTAAACTGCCGCGGGAGCGGGGTGCTCAGGGCTGGCCGGTGGCCCCCGGCTCGGGAAGCGCCTGGAGCACAGGCAGCAGTGCGAGTGCCGGGCTCCAGGCTGGGACTGACCTGGCGGGTGGATTTTAGGAACCTCGGGAGGCCAGCACACGCCCAGCTCGAACCCGAGTCCAAGTGCCCAGGGGACAGGAGGCAGACCAGAGGGCGGGGGCGGGCGCAGGGCAGCCGTGAGCCGAGGTGACACTGTCCGGGCCCCTGCACGTCTCCCGCACCCCTCTGGCAGGCGGGCAGGTGGGCAGGTGGGCAGCAGTGGGGGCGGGAGGCACGGTGTCGGCCTGGGCAGGGAGAGCAGGGGGAGGGGCTCTGGGGCATTGCCAGGGTAGGACCCGTGGCGGTCGCTGATGGCTCGGGAATGCCTGGTGGGTACTCCGAAGCCCTTAGTGCCCACGGTGTAGGAGAAGCTTCGGTTTTCGCTCTACAATGGGCTGTGCTCTCGATCGCCTCCGAGTGCACTTCCTCTCCGTAACCTTCTCGGGCCTGTGGCTTTCTCCCACGCGACCCCACGTCCTGTGTGGCCCCAGACGTTTCCGGTTGTGAGCCCTGCCCTCCCCTTTGGAGAGAAGTAGCAGTATCTGTCTCAGGGGAGTGACTCCTTCGGTCATTAAATCCAGGTGATGGACACGAGTGCCTAGGGACCGTGCCTGGGCCTCGCACAGGCCAGTGCGCTGCTGTCACACATGCTCTTTGCTGTTTGCAAGAGTCAGTCGCCTTCACTTGCAGAAGAGAACCCAGTAACTGTTTCCACTGGAGAGAGACTTGGGGGCGTGTCCGTCGACGCCAGGCCAGGGCGTGACTCCGTGCAGCGGGCAAGACCCCAAAGAGACCGGCTCTCGAGGGGCGCGGCACGCGGACTCAGGCGGCATGGGGCGGGGGGCTCCTGCTGGGCCTCAGCTGCGGCGGGTGGCGCGGGATGCACAGGTCGCGGAGGGCGGTCTGTCCCCTCCAGAGGCCCGACAGGTGCGGAGGCACAAAGTGAGAATTACCACGTCCGGGCCTGAGCGTGCAAATAATGATTTCTTACAAGCTTCCCACGCGCTCAGGAAGAAAACTGGTTTCACACGGTTTTACAGACGTGGACGTGCGAGCGCGTGCTCAGGCCGACGTTCCCGTCTGTCGGGGCCTGCCGCGGCCCCAGGCAGCCTCCCGAGGCTCCTGCTGGTGTGCCGGGATCCTGACCCCAGCAGGGCAGGTGCACGCTCACGCCCACGCCCGCCACCGCCTCCTGCCCCGTCACGGCGTGATCCGGCGCCCAGGTCTCGTTCTTCCAAGTCTGACACGCAGGCCCGGGCGCCCGGCCTGCAGTTCACGCACGGAGAGAGCGCCGCCTAGCGCCGGCCGGCGGAAGCGCCCGCTCTCCCGGGCGTCCCTGCGTGGCGCACGCTTCGCGCTGCGTCCGGACGTCACGTGACGACGGAACGCCGGCGGACGCCGCGCAGGGCACGCCGCGCCGAGCCCCGAGAGCCGTTTCCTGTGCGGGTTTGAACCGTGGGGTTCACGCTCCATCAGCAGACCGACGGGTCAGCGTGATCTCACGTTGAGTCTAGAAATCATCGCATGCTGGGCTCGCCACGCAGCTCCGTGCCCTTGCGGGAAGTCGGAATTCTGGAGGTCGCCGTTTACCGGCCAGCGGCCCTGCGGCCCTGGGGGCGCCCGGAGGCGCAGGCGCTTTGGGGGCGCGGGCGCGCTCGGCCAGCCGGCAGCCCCGCCCCTGCTGGGAGGGAGAGCGGTGGCGCCCGTGCCCGGCGTGTGGCCGCCGGGGGGCCCCCCAGTGGCCGCGTGACGTTGGCGTGGCGTGGGGAGGACACCCACCGAAGGCGGGGACGGGCAGCTGGGCGCAGGGCATGCGTTAGCCTGAGAAGCCCGACCCTGAGCCTGAGCCAGGTCGCGAACTAGGCTAGAATTCTGTGTTGATAAAGATCGAGAGCAATCAAAACAGAACAGGATTTTGTCGGGCACAAACACACACGTAAGGAAGCCTTTTGTTCCTCAGCACAGGGGGTGGAGGCACCGAGTCCGGGGTTGTGGTTAGTGGTCGCTCCCCGGGGAGGGGACGGGGGACGGGGACACACGGAGCTGGGGGCTGTCACTCGGGTCTGGCCCTGCGGCCGTCACCACGAAGCCCTGCTTACGGCCGACCTGTGTGTGACGTTGCTCTGCGTACCTGCCGGAGCTGCACTTAGTTTTACAGACAGGCTAATCCCACGAACGTGCGGAGTTTTCCCGGACCAGCAGCTGAGCCGTTTCTCTAAGGGCTGCGTCCTTTTCCTGGGGCTGCTCCAACGAGGCGGGGCTACGGACTTCGGGGCTTAGGGCAGCCGCCAGCTGTTTATTCTCTGACAGTTCCGGAGGCCAGACCCCAAAAGCCAAGGTGCCCTCCGGACCCACAGCCCCGCTGAGGGAAGCCAGGTGCCTGGCTTGCTCCTTAGAGGAGAGGCGTGTCCTCGCGCACTTGTGTGGGCCGCCCTCGCCCTGGGCCCCCACACTGCCTGGCCAGTCCCCCCCCAGGGTGCCTTGTCGAGCCCGCAGTTCCGCCTCCACTTGTCCCCTGCTGCTGGCGCTGTGGTCCTCCCCTCGCTTCTGGAAGGTGCGCTGCCCGCTTGGCACTGAGTGGCACAGTCACCCAGGATGGCTGAAGCAGAATTCACCCTATTTTCCGTGCATTAACGGTAATTTCAGTAAGATGTCAGAGCAGCGATTTAAATCCCCAGGAATTCTCACTGTTTCAGGTGCTTGGGAAACATCGTTTCCAGACCCCAAACAGGGAGGCCAGCAAAGGCCACCCCAAGTCAGTCCTGGGCTGCCCTTGCCTCGGTGTGGGCTCAGGGGGGTGGCTAGCAGGGTGCTGGTCCCATGGGTGGGCACCGCCTCTACGCCAGACCCGGGTTGGGCGTCCATGATGCCTCAGGTGTTCATGATGCCTCGTGGTTCACACTCAGGCCTTCTCCGTGTGAGGGCGTGTGCAGGAGCCCTGTGGGCGCCCGAGTCGGAGCAGCAGTGGTGGCCGGCAGGCTGCTTCCTCTGGGTCACGTGGGGACGTTGGCGGGGCCTGTGTGTCTCAGCGTTGACGGCACGTTCACTTTCTCCTCCAGAAACACGAAGACACGGACTGTCCCTGCGTGGTGGTGTCCTGCCCTCACAAGTGCAGAGTCCAGACCCTCCTGCGGAGCGAGGTGAGGGCGTGGCCGGGGCCTGGTTGGGAGCTGGCGGCGTCTGCAGGAGCAGCGAGCTCAGACGCCGCTCTTCCCAGATGCAGCCGAGGCCGTAGGTCTCCGCAGGTCACAGCAGTGACACGGGTGCAGAAAACTAGCGAAACCTCATCTGTTTGCGGGAGTCAGAGATTGAAGGAGCAAGCAATTAAAAGCTACAAAGTGGTAAATTCAGAACAGAATTGAGAAAAAGGAGGTTACAATGCAAGCAACGATGACATATTTTTTAAAAGCTATTTTTAAGTTTATTAAGTAGGATTATCTCAAGAGAATAATCTAGAGGTGCTGCAGAACCCTTTAGCCATGCATGCTGTGTGGGATGGGTGCTGGGAATCGAGGGGTCACCGGAGCGGCTGCCGCATGCCAGGGGGCTGGGACAATGTCCTGAAGGCGGGCTCTGCGTGAACTTCACGTGATCAGGACATACCCAGGTGGAAAGAGTCCAAGAATTCTCAGTGTTTCTGCATGGACCCTCACCTGGGGCCCCTCAGGTTGCAGTTCAGGGCGCCCTCTGGAGCTCCAGGGCACGTGTGGCCCTTTAGTCCTGGGAGCTCTGATCTGAGGGGCCTGCTCACCTCGGCCTTTTCAGCAGCCTGGAGTTTTACCCCTGGATGGGGGTGGGGGGGTCGGTCTCATGTCCCCACTGCGCAAGAGACACGGAGTGCAGGAAGGACCCCAAGGGCCACTGTCACTCGAGGTGCGTCCTCACATGACCTGACAGCCAGGCGAGGGCAGGGTCTTGCCTGGGAACTGGCCCCTGGCCCCTGGACATGCTGCAGGGAGTGGCAGGGAGTGCACGTCCGTCGTCTCCACAGCTGGGAAGCCCCCCCTCAAAGTGGACGTGTGACGAGTCTGTGTCGTCAGAATTATTTTCGGGGTTTTACAGGCTTCCCTAAGTTTTTACTTGGGGCTCTCTGAATTAGGGGCGAGCATTGCCTCCGTTTGCCTGTAAACTCTGTAAGGCTCTGAGAAAACGGGGAGAAAGCCGGCCTAGGGGGCAGCGTGCGCCCGCAGCGGCGCTCTGAAAGTGGCCCCGAGCTGGCCAGGTCCCTCCCTGAGGCCGAGCGCAGGCAGAGGGTGTGCCCCAGCCGGTCGGGTTGGTGCCCCTGCGCGCAGCGCTGTCTCAGGCCGCGTCCCTGTGCCCGGTCCCACGGGGGTTCAGAGGGACACTGGTGTGCTCAGCTGCCACAGCCATCACCATCACTGAAACTGAGGCTCGGGCTCAAAGGCCTTCCGCTGGCCTTGGCCAAGGTCGGGAGGGCCCCTCAGGCCACACCCTCAGCACTGGCCTCCTCGGTAACAGTCGCAGCAGGGCCAGTGTGGACCACTCTGCTCTTTGCCCAAAGAACTGACCGGAAAGGAAGGGCCATCTTCGTCCCGTAGACTGAGGGGAAGTTGTAGAACTAACTGCACCCACCAGAGTGACGCCCCTGGGCCCGTGGGGGTGCACAGACAAACGGGCCCCTGCCCGCTTCCCTGACTCAGGGCCCAGTGGTTCCTACGGAGGTCTGTCCCCCGAGTTTCCTGATGAGAAGTTATTTCTCCAGGAAAAGGAGCAGCTCTCCTTTGACAGCACCAGCCTAGCGCCAGCACCGTGTCTTTAGACGCAGGTGCTCCATGCCCCTCGCCCCTGGGGCCTGTGCTGGCGCGCTGCTGACCTGTGAGCAGCACCCAATCAGCTGTCCTCTCCCACTGCCTCCTAATCTCTCCCATCGTTGGGGGGGGGGCACAGTGGCACAGTGTTGGGAGGGTGACCTTAGCGGTCCCTGGAAGCTGCAGGAATGTGTGGCCACACAGAGGGCACAGTCCCCTAGAAGAAAAAAACGCTCCTCCAGTTATCTCGAGCACTGAGCCCAACGGTCCATCGTGTGAGCTTGCTTTGGAAATACTTATTTCCATGTACTGTATACTGTACACGAGGTGTGTGGCCAGTTGCATCCTGAATGCTTTCTTTTTTGTGTGTTTCATGCAATTTTTTGTTTATAGTCTTTAAGTGTGCATTTCAGTTTACGTTTTTTCCTTTTTTTTTAAATTCTGGCACTGCAGATGGCATGTCCCATTCTAAACAATTCTAAAGAAAGTGCAAGTTTAAGCAGTGTTACAGTGAATGTACCTCTGTATATCGGCGTACATGCGTGTGCACTCGTGGTGACGCTGTGAACTTGCTGCCGAGGGTCCGGAAGCAGAGGGCGCGCGCGCCCGCGGCCGGCAGCACCGTCCGTCCCGGTGCGGCCCGCGCGCGCGCTCCGTGCCTCTAACGTGTTTGAACATTTTTGTGCGAACGTTCGTGCCACAACTCATGTCTCTTTCCCGTTGCAGTTGAGTGCGCACTTGTCAGAGTGTGTCAATGCCCCCAGCACCTGTAGTTTTAAGCGCTATGGCTGCGTTTTTCAGGTCAGTATCCGACATCTGTCCTTCCCAGTCGCTGACATTCTGCCGTGAGGGAAAGTTGTCACGTGAACGTTAAATGTGCCCCTTCTGGCACGTGTCCCGGATCCGAAGCGCCCTGCTGCTGCGCGGCCGAGAAAGCCGTGCGAGCGGACAAGGGTGCTGGCTCTCCACGCAGGGACTCGGGAGCCCAGGCAGAACCCGTCTAGGATGACGTCAGTGCGTCCCCGGACGTGGGCTGCGTCTACAGCCAATCAGTGAACAGTGAGCGAGGACGCAGAGGCCTGGCGGGGGGCGGAGCTTCAGACAGTGTGCCAGGGAGACGCCCCGCCCCCAGAACTGCGTGCCCGCAGGTACGCAGCGGGAGGCTCCGGCCGCGCGTGCGCGATGCCGAGCTGGAAGGACCACACACACCTGTGCCCGTGAGTGCGTTTGCACACCGGCCACGCCTCCCGGAAGAACAGTGTGGAGAGGACGTCTTGGTCACTGCCACACCTGGGCTGTGACAAACCTGAGTCTGACTTTTTATTTATTTTTTTTAACACATCTGAGATTGCTAGTGAATTTGAACTGAGGTTGTTTTTTTTTTTTAACATACCTTAGTCTTAAGACCATGGAAAGACACTGTATGTTACCATCAGAGTACTTTGTAGTTAATTTCATGTGTCAGCCGAACACATCGCTGTGGAACCAGCGCGGGGACACCGGCACCCTAGGTTTTCTTAGAGAGCGGATCGCAGGAGGAGGAGGACGACGACCGGCTCGCCCTCCGCCGCCGCCTCCGCGCGAGACAGAGCCCCACTGTCGTGTCGCACGCAGCCCCATCCATCCTGTGTGTGTGTATGTATATGTTGACATATGGTGGCTCTTATCTCAACATACACATATATGACTACTATGTACAGAGTATATGCTTTGGAGATCATTAAAACGCTTCCTGTGGCTTCCAGATTTTCCATTGTCAAAACAAATTATATTTTCATACCAATTATTTCCTCCAGCACGTGAAGTAGTTTCCTGCGCCTACTGCCGACCGCGGTGGTCTCCATCTCATGTACTCTGTAGATTGTTTATGTTCGTGTGTGACTCTCGAAGTGCACTCAGGACAGTGACAGACGACACCTTTCTCACACACTGCGTTTCACTAACAAACCAGTGTTTGGGCGAGTTAAGTAGTATCCTGGTCTGATTACCTGTCTACTGGGTTTTCGTACCAGTATAGCTGTAGGTGTCTAAACATTTTCCCTTTATATTTTTAATGAAAAAAATTGTGAAGGAACAAAAACGATATGTCTGAAATTTAATTTCTCAACCTCACAAGCGTGAGACGTAGCTGGGAAGGCACTTGATGAGAAGGGTGAGGAGAGACGCATGTGACCTTGCAGCCACCGTGCCCCTGCCCAGCCCCGTCCTCGAGCGCCCTGTGCAGCCCGCGTCAGGCCCGGGGGGTGGCGGGGAGCGGGGGGCCCCTCGGTGTCAGGACTGAGTTAGGCATCGGGGCGGCTTTGTGTGGGCGCAGGCACCGGCCGGCTTCACGCTCTGCACCTTTGCTCTCGCAGGGGACGAACCAGCAGATCAAGGCCCACGAGGCCAGCTCCGCGGTGCAGCACGTGAACCTGCTGAAGGAGTGGAGCAGCTCCCTGGAGAAGAAGGTAGGTGCCGCGCCCGCCCCCCCCCCCCAAGCTCCTCGGAGGAGGAGGAGCCTGCTTTGTAGTTGCCGGTGGTTGGGGGGTAAAAGAAACCGCATCGAGAGGTGGTCGGAAACGCAACCGCTCCTCCTTGTGCGGTCCTGCGCTTACCAACCAGGGTGTCTGTGTTCCTTCTGTTCTGCCACCGCCATCGAGGGTGCCCTGCTTCCTCTGAAGAAAAGCACCCACGGCGTCTTAGCGCATCTCTGGAGCAGGGACAGTGTGGACCGCGGAGCCCGCAACCCTCATTCTCGGCGCCCGCGGGGGTGGTGCCAGCCCCGAACAGGAAGGGCGCCTGTGCTGAAGGTGTAGAGAAACCTCTCCCTGTCCCCGGTGCTCTGCCGGCCTCCCGCCTGGTGCTGTGGGGTGGGCACGGAGCCGGTCCCCTTCCCAGACCGACGCCTTTGCCCGGCTGCCCGTCGGGGGCTGCGTGTGGGCTGGGCCGTCCACAGCCCTTTCGGGGGCGTTGGTTCGTGGGGTGCTGCCCGCCCTGGGCCTTGGGGAGCAGCTCGGAGATCATCCCCCCCAACTCTGTCATCCGAACGGGCCCTGTCCATCCCAGCCCCCGCCCCAGCGGTCAGGCCGGCCGAGCCTCTGCCCCGCACAGGCTTGTTGGGGTCCCGTTTCTCCCGAGCCCAGAGCAAAGGCTGGAGCAAAGGGGAGACCCTTCATTCTCCTGGCGCGGGTTTTCCTTCTCGGTCTGGACCGCGCGGCCGGAATCTCAGGTCGCTGTGCTCGTCTGCGGCGGGCAATGGAATGCTTGGCTCGGCTCAGAGGGGCCGGCCGTCAGGTCCGTGGTCAGACCGCAGACACGGTGTCCTGTAAGGTCCGGACTTGGAAACACCCCGCTCCTGCCGTTGTAGGCGTCAGCCGGGCAGCTGCGGCCTGGCCGGGGCGGGGCCGGGGCCGGTCACCGCTGTGTGGACGCCACCCTGCAGGTCTCGGGAACACCCGCCAGGCCGCCTCTCCTGCGGGCAACGGCGCCGGTTCCCTGGAGGAAAACGTGTGTGAACAGAAGTCGGTGTCCGTCGGCATTAGGGGAACGGAGCGTTTGCCCTGGCGGGGTGGGCGTCCCTGGGTGGACGCCGCTGGTTGCCCGCACGTCACTCGGGGGCGGCGGGAACACCCTCCTCCGTGGCTCTGGAGCTGGGGCCGCGTCTCCTGTCGGGAGGCCGACGAGGGCGCGGTGTCTCCGGGAACGGAGTCCCGGACTCGGGCCACCCGTGACGGGCGGGGTCGGGCGAGCTGACCCGCGGGAGGCGGCTCTGTGACGCTGCCCTTGCCCGTCCGCTCGGGGGCGCCGTGTCACGTGTGGGCGCCGCGGGCTTTGCGGCGTCCCGGCTCAGGAAGGATGGCCCAGCGCGCCGAGTGAGACCCCGGTGGGACGCGTGCGCGCTCGTGCCCCTCCGCGGGTGCGCGCTCGCCTGCCGGAGCGGGGCCCGCAGGGCCCGGAGGCGACGGCGTCTGTCTCCGCCCAGGCTGGTTCTTCCTTAAAGGGGCCTGTCACTCCTGGGTCTGCCCTGAGAGCCCTGGGCCACCCCCTCGGCGACATCACCTCGGTCCTCGGGTGCTGGTGACCTTGCACTCCTCCTGAGTCCCCAGTGACTTGGGAGAAGCTGCACTTGCCTCCGGGGAGAAACGGGGGGAGATGGGGGGTGTGGAGGAGGCCTTTCCGGGGGCCAGGCGCCCCCGATTCCTCACCCCAGGACTGTAGACCTGTTCATCAAATCAGCTCTCAGGAGCCAGCTGTTTCTCTGAAAGGTTTAGAAAAAGTCGCCGGGGACCGACGAGGCGGGGGAGTGGGCACAGCGGCCCTGTCTCTGTGCAACGGGGGAGGGAGCAGGTGCCTCGCCCCTGCTGGTGCGGGGCAGCTCCCAGCGTGGAGAGCGCCTCCGACGCGCAGGGCGCGGCCCGCGGGCGGATGTGAAGTAGCTGCGCCGTGTGACTGGCAGGTGTTAAAGCCAAACAGAATAAACTAGGAACCATCAGGTCGTCGCAGGCGAGGACGAGTGTGGCTCTGTGACTCCTGTCTCCCAGGGACACACCGTGTAGCACGAGGTGTCATGTCAGAGTGTGTTGCCTGGTCCCAGCGTGGAAGCCGAAACCTTCGGGAAGTGTCCCTTCACCCTGAAGTCCAGGGCCGAGCCCGGCCGAGCCCTCTCCGCTCCGGGGCAGGAGCGAAGCAGCGCAGTGGGTGGGCTCCCGTGGGGCTGCCGTGGCTGCCGTTTCCTGTGGGGAGAGGTTCGAGTTTTCCTGGAGTGCCTTCCGGGGCTGAAAGAAGGCCTGTATTGTGAACGTTGAATTGCTTTCCTAATTGTTAATAATTTTTGTCATTAACATTAAAACCAATTTTGCTCGCTTAATTGAAGAACCTCTTTTCCAGGTCTCTCTGCTGCAGAACGAAAGCGTGGAGAAAAACAAGAGCATCCAAAGTCTGCACAACCAGATATGCAGCTTTGAGATTGAAATCGAGAGACAGAAGGAAATGCTCCGAAACAACGAATCCAAAATACTGCATTTACAGGTGAGGGGCTGAAGGCTGCGGCGGCGGCGGAGGGCGGAGGGGCCCCGCCCTGAGCGGACAGGCGCCTCTGGTCCCCCCCCCACCCCCCACCCCGGTGCCTCTGAGCCCCTGTTGGTGCAGCCGGACTGAAAAGCCCGTGGTTTTGAAAATCAGCTGCTTTTATTACTATCTCTCGTTTCATGTTGTCCATGGGTGAGGTCTCACTTCCTACAGTGAGGGGAAGCCACACTACTCTTCTGTCCTGAATTTCCAGTGATTCGCATGCCCCCCCTCACTCGATCCCACTGTCCGCACAGAGGCGTCTGCAAACGTGTGACCCCGTGGGGCCCCGGGGACGGTGGAAACGGGCCCAGGTGGACGGCTGCTCCCCGTCTCTGCCGCCAGCACCGGTCTCCCCGGGGGCCTGGTCAGGGTGCTCTCTGTCGCTGCTACCGTGGGCACATCCGGCACGAGGACGCCGGCACGCTGCCCGGACGGTTTCCGAGGCTGGTGCCCGCGGTGGCATGTTTCCCTGGAACGTCTGGGGGTGCTGGCAGCCGGCCTGGGCGTCTGTGGGGACCCCTCTGCCCCCCCCCACGCTGGGGGTCAGTCCTCACGCCTTCGGGGGCCTCACAGGGGGCAGTGAGCTTCCGTCTGTGTGACAGCGTGCGGTCGGCCAGAGAGGAGGGGGCCACAGTGGGGTGCTGGGTTGTGTTAGTAAGGGCACAGGCCGTCAGTGTGACCGGTCCCCAGTGCACAGCGACACGTAAGCCTCCAGCGAGCCTCCTGGGGACGGTCCCGGGCGCTGTGCGGAGGCCCTGAGACGGAGGCAGAGCGGCCCACCGGCCCCCCACCTCGGCCGCCCTGGCACTGTCCTCGCTGTGGAGCTGCGGGGTCTGCGCTGGGCGCGGGTATGCGGGAAGGCCTGTCACCCCTCGTTAAACGTGCCAGCAGCGGGAGAGAGCGACTGCCGCCTTGTGGGTCCCGTGTGCCGGGCCGTCAGCATCTCACAGGGAGGCCCAGACGCCCTGCCCCAGCCCACTTCCTCCACTTCCAGCGGGAGGAGTTGGAGCTTAGTTTACTTAGCTTCCTTTCTTGTGGAGCTCGGTGGTTCTGCTGTGTGTGATTCGTATTTTAAGGCTGCTGGGATTGAATAAACCCACGCCATCTAAGAAAGGGGGGACCACACTGTGGAGTCAGCTTCTGCCCTCGTTGGTGCTCCAGGGCTGGGTATGGGGGGCTGGCTGGGGCCATTCTCCCTGGAGAGGGACGCGTTTGGGGGGTGCGTTTGAAGATGAGGGCTCATCATCGGCTATGGGCGCCGTGTCACCCTGAGGCCAGGCAACCAGTCCCTTGGAGGTTCGCGTGGAAGGGCAGCGGGAAGGGCAAGGTTCAGTCTGCCTCTGGCCCCACCCATAGGCTGCCAGCACTTGGGTGCAAGGGAGAAACTTGGGGCTGTGCGTCTTTCAGGAGGCAGCAGTCTTCCAGAAACCCCCGTGGGCTGCATGCGTGCAGATGTGGCAGGAGGCGCGGCGCTTCCTCTCCCGAGGGTCCTGCAGACCCCGGCGCCAAGCCAGTAACCCCTGTCGTTACTGTGCTGCTCACCTCTGAGCCCAGGCCATGCGGCCGAGACCTGGCTCCTGAGCGCCACCTGCACTGTCCCATTGGGACAACGTTGGTTTCCTGTCCTCTGACGCAAACGGCACCGTTGGACAGGAAGCACGCGCACGAGACCGACGTGGGTGGTCGGAAAGCCGGCCTGCTGCGCTCGCTGGGCGGTGTCCCCCGTGTACGCATGCGCATGCGCCTCGCTGGGGAAGGTGCGTCGCGGACGTACCTGCCCTGGGGTTGTTCCTGGGAAACACCGCAGGGGGCTGAGTGTGGGCCGTGCCTCGGGCGTGGAAGCTTCGCCAGCCTGCGGGGGGTGGGGGGGACGGGGTGTGCTCAGCGCCCTCCCTTTTTACCTTGGCGGCCTGAGGCCGGGACAGAGCGGCCCCTCTCCGCTGTCCCTGGTCGCTGCAGGCCTCCCCGCCGCCCCCTCCCACTCTCCCGCGCCCGCGGTGACCCTGCTGATCATCTCAGCGGGGAGAGCCCGTGCGCGGTCCCCGGCCTTCCGGGGAGGCGCCTCCCTGTCTGCGCGCGCACCGCCGGGGACGGCGTGGCGTCCGGGGACGGGCCGGACTTGGTGAACTCACTCGGTGGCCTCCAGCCACAACGTGCTCGACAGTGATGCGTCCGCGTAGAAGGTGTTCTTCCGCGAAATCGTCTCTTCTTTCCAGATGTTAGCCGACATCAGGCTTTCTTGGAAAGAAGAGGAAGAATAACACTACTTTTACCCCCAAAAGTAGCCCAAAGCTACCATGTGTGTTCCTTCGTGGTTAGTAAGAGCCAGCAAAGGTGCTGAAACCTACGTGTTTAAAAATAGGGCTTCAAAAGGAGAAGTGAGCCTGCCGCCCCCCCTCACTCCACAGCCTCTCGGGCTGGGCTGCCCCGCCCCGCCCCCGGGAGCGCGGCTTCAGAGATGCACTCTGTCCTCCGAGGCAAAACCTCTTTGGGCCCCGGCCTGCCAGCGCAGAGTGGGCGGGGGTCCTCGCCCTGCAGTCCCTGTGGGAGGTGGAAGTGGGGTGTGTGGTTCTGGGAAGAAAGGTTGTCTGAGTTATTTAAAGGAGCCTGCAGTCAGGCCTCCCTGCCCACCGCACGTGCAGGCCCCCCCGGGAGGGCAGGCTGCCCCAGGCCTGGGCCCGAGCTCCCCAGGGCCTGAAGACCCGCCACCAGGCACCTTTCCTGCCACGAGCCCACGTGGACGCCCAGGCCTCTGGAGCTGCGGGGTCAGGGTGGCCCCAGCGGCCCTCGGCCGGGCCGCCGGGAGGAGCCCGCGGTGTTTGGGTCCTGCTGGTGGCCGAAGCCCTTGGGGACAGGGGCCTTCAGACGGTGCCAAGAGGCGTTGCCCCAGCGTCCTGAACCTGAGGCCCAGGACAGTGGTGTGGGGCCACCTGCCCTGCCACTAGTGGGGGGGGCCTCCGCCCACCCCACTCCCTCCTCTGGGAAGTAAGGGCCCTCGTCACCTCTACCCCTGAGACACACGAGGTGTCGGACGGGGTTCCTGTGCGGCTGGGCCCGGGCTGACCGCTCTGTCCCCGACCAGCCGGGGCCTGGTGGCGGGGGCCCAGCGTTTTCCTTGCGTTCTGACTGTGTTTTGCCTCTTCCATGCCTTTGACCTGGAAGCGAGTAATAGACAGCCAGGCAGAGAAGCTGAAGGAGCTGGACAAGGAGATCCGCCCGTTCCGGCAGAACTGGGAGGAGGCGGACAGCATGAAGAGCAGCGTGGAGTCCCTCCAGAACCGCGTGACCGAGCTGGAGAGTGTGGACAAGAGCTCGGGGCAGGCAGCCCGGAACACAGGTGAGGGCGGCCGGGCGGGGCAGAGACGCGTCTGGGAGGGACCCGGGACCCAGGTAAGTGCTGCGGCTCGACCCCCGCGGGGTACTCGGTCCCCCCAGCACACGGAGCCTCAGAGCCGGGCCTCCCGGTCACAGGGACGCGTGTGCCCGGCTGACGGCCTCTCTGCCCCAGGGCCTGTGGCAGGGACAGACGGCCCCCCTGGGACCTCTCCGAGGCCAGCACGGTGGGCACGGCGGCAGGCCGGGCGTAGGGGGGGGCCTGCTGGTCGGGTGCCTTCGGAGGCCCAGGGATGAGCCCGAGACAAGCAGGCGGGGGTGGAGGGGGCCCTGCCAGCCCCGCGGACACATGTCCGGTGTCAGGGAGGGGTCCGGGCCTGCGGCTCCAGGGGCCGAGCGGACGCGCTGCGTGTTCGCATGGAAGGACCCATGGTGAGCGGAGCACATGGAGCTCTGGGGGCTGGGTTCAGCAGCCGAGGACCTGGAGTGGGGACAGAGGCAGCCGACACTCGGGGCGCAGGGGACCCTGAGCCTCAGGCTGGAGGGCTCCAGGGCCATCCCTGCCCCCCATAGGGCTCCCTGTTGACCCTGCAGTGAGGGCGCTGGGGACCCCAGGCTGCTGCGCCTCGGGGGCCGCTGCCACGGGCGTGGGAGCCACACGGCACAGGGGTCTGAGGCCTGTGTCAGGACGTCCGCGTGGCATTTGTCCTCTGCCGGCCGAGAGCCTCGGCGGCTCCCTGGTGTTCGGCGCCGGCCCCCGCCCTCCTGGCCCCCGCTGACGCCCGCGCCCGTCTCTCCCGCCCGCCAGGTCTGCTGGAGTCCCAGCTGAGCCGGCACGACCAGATGCTGAGCGTGCACGACATCCGCCTGGCCGACATGGACCTGCGCTTCCAGGTGCTGGAGACGGCCAGCTACAACGGGGTGCTCATCTGGAAGATCCGCGACTACAAGCGGCGGAAGCAGGAGGCCGTCATGGGGAAGACGCTGTCGCTGTACAGCCAGCCCTTCTACACGGGCTACTTCGGCTACAAGATGTGCGCCCGCGTCTACCTGAACGGGGACGGCATGGGGAAGGGCACGCACCTGTCGCTCTTCTTCGTCATCATGCGCGGCGAGTACGACGCGCTGCTGCCCTGGCCCTTCAAGCAGAAGGTGACGCTCATGCTCATGGACCAGGGCTCGTCGCGGCGCCACCTGGGGGACGCGTTCAAGCCGGACCCCAACAGCAGCAGCTTCAAGAAGCCCACCGGGGAGATGAACATCGCCTCCGGCTGCCCGGTGTTCGTGGCCCAGACCGTGCTGGAGAACGGGACGTACATCAGGGACGACACCATCTTCATCAAGGTCATAGTGGATACGTCGGACCTGCCCGACCCCTGACGCGCCCCCGGGCAGGCGGATCGAGCAGAAGGCAACTCCTCTCGGGGTTTGAGCCGCTGTCCCCACCGAGGTCCTCGCGCTCCGGCGGCGGGGACCCCGCGGGCAGAGGAAGCGGCGGAAGGCGGCCGCGGGCCTGTGGGAGGAGCCGCGCGGGAGGACGTTTTCTCACAGACTCGCGACACTTCACCGGAGAATTATTTATCCTTCGACGAGATAAATACTGCTGTCCGAGGAGGTCTCCATTTCCATTTCTACAGATCCAGTTAAGTAAGGCGGAAAACACACATGCTGAGGGAGAGAACCGTGATCTTTCTTCCCGAAACTTGAACACCAAAACAAAAGAGACCACACCCACCCACACACACACACCTGGGACGGCCGGACGCGTCAGCATGCCGCGTGCGAGGAGCGTTGATGAAATGGTAATGCAGTTCCTATATATCCATTCTCAGACCCAAGAGTGCAATCTTGTTTCAAATACAACATATTGTCTATTTTTAAGGCCTCACTTGGTCTCTGTTTTAATAATTAGTTTGTCCGAAGACCCTGAAGTACACCCAGGTCTTTTCTGAAGGTCTCTAAATTCAGAATCATTTTTTAATTTAAAGTTCTAAGATAATTGTTACTGCAGACATTTTATTTTAAAGCGATGATAGACTTATATTTCTTGGAAGAAAATGTAAACTATCAAACACTGGTTATCACTTGTGATAGGAAAGAGAACACCCACCCGTCGTTATTTCTCGTTAGAAATGTAACCCTCGACGCCCGTCGTGGTCGGTGGCGCGACCTCGCAATTGTCACGGGAGGAAACCGCTCTTGGATGCTGTGCATCGTTCTCAGATTTATAATTGTTTTCACCCTAAACTAGGGCATCCGTTGAACTTTGGAGTTCCAGACAAAACCCTGTAGGTTTTTTAAATTGTGCCCCACGCGCTCCGGCGAGGCCTCAGCCGCAGACACCGCCGGCCTCGGCCTCTGGCGTCCGGCGTCCGGGGTGGGCAGGCGACGCCCGCGGCGGCGGCCCCAGCAGGCGCCCTCCCTCCTGTCACGTTGCTGCACCCCGTCCGCGACCTCCGAGAGCAGCGTCCTCGCGGAGAGACGGCGGCGTACGGTCCACGTGCCTTAGGCTGCATGCTGCTTCCCGGCCCGGCTTTGCGTCGTCCGCGGTTCCAGGGCGTGGCCGTGGGGCCCGACCTCTCCCGGCCACGGCACCAGTCTGCCCCCGGGCCCCGGGCCGCCCGGCCCCTGCTGCGGGGGCTCCAGTCTCCCTGCGGGGCCCCCGGGCCCCCGCGTGACCGTCACAGGCTCCGAGTCTCTAGGCCCCCCAGGGGGAGCCGCCCGGGCTGGGCGTGGGCACGGGCCCTCGAGCATTCTGGAGACGCAGCTCTGGGGGCTGCCCAACAGCCTCCGGGACCACCACCGCCCCCAGGAGGGGCGGCCTCGGGGGTCCCCGGGCCCAGCCCGCGCCCGCCCCGCCGGCCTCTTCCCACTCACTGTTTACCTTCTCTCCACGGTCCAACTGTGATCGGCACCGGAGCCCGGCCTGCTGCGCCCTTCGCTCTGCACCGCGCCTCCCGGTGCTCCGACCCGACGGTGCTACACGTGACGGGTGCTTCTCGGGCACGGCCAGTGCGCAGCCCGCCGCCTCCGTGCTGTCATCCCAGGGCCGTGCCCACGCCGGCCGGCCGGGCCGCGCACTCGGACTGCCTGCCCGCCTCTGGGCTCCCCACGGTGGCGCGGGGATGGCCGGGCTGGTGCCTGGCAGCCCACTGTGCCTCTGGTGCTGCCGTCCGCCCTGGGCGTGCCTTCGCCCCAGTGCCTGCCGGAAGCGCCCCCCTTGCCCCCCAACGCCGCCCGCCGGCCCGCGGCCCACAGCCGTTCCGACGCTCCGTGGTCTCACCTCCCCCGTCTCCACCGCCAGGACGGCTCTGGGGGCAAGTGCGTGTCCCTGTCCCCCTCACGGAGAAAGGACTTCCCGTGGGCGCTGTGGGGCCGCTGCTCCCGTGGAGGGTCCCCGACCTCCAGGCCTCGCCCTGCCCTGCCCTGCGGACTCGGAGAAGAGACCCCTGGAGCCCCCCCACTGGGCCTCAGGTGGTGCCCCGAGGTCCCAGGCCACCGACAGGCACACCCTGTGGCTTCCTGTTTGACAAATTCAGGACAAGCAGCATCTTGCTCTGGTCAAAAAGAAAAAACAAAGACATCCCCCCCTTGAAGTCCTGGTGGGGGCGAGCCGCCCGGAAGTGTCTGTCCCCGTGGGCGGGGCTGTCCCCTCGGGGCAGGTGCTGGGCTTCCCTGCTCCTCCCACGGGGGCCACAGGACCTGGCGTGGGCAGCCGGCACCATCCCCTGGGGAGAGGCTGTGCCACGACCGGAGTGTCGCCCTGCGGCTAGGTCACAGTGGGGGGCTGTGGGCCCATGGCCGCTGTTCTGTGCACGCCCTCCCCTCCTGTGCCCTGGGCCCGCCGGGGGGGGGGGGGCAGCCTCCTGGCCGCCCGACACCCTGCCCACGCAGCAAGGCCTGACCGCCCGACTGGCGACGGGAGTGGGACGCGGCGTGGTCAGGTGCGTGACAGGGCTCCCCGCGGGCACGGGTCCCAACGCTGGAGAGGAGCCGGCGGTGTCTGGTGGCCTCCCTGGCAGCCTCGTCTCCCCCCCCCCAGAGACCCCTCCCGGGGTCGGGGGCCGGTGTGTCCCTGGGGGTCGTGAGCCGGCCTTTCTCACGAGCCGGGTTTCCTGTGCCCGGGCGCACAAGTGGCGGGAGAGCACTGGAGCACCCAGAGGTGCTCCCAGGTCATCAGAGGACAGGCTGGCGCCGGCCCCCAGGTGGGACGGGGCCCAGCGTGCGTGCGCTGTGGCGTGGACAGGAGGGGCCTCTCAGTGGCTGCTGCCACAGCCCGAAGTCCCGGCTGTCCCCTGCTCCGAGCCCCCACCGACCCTGACGCTGGAGGCCGTGGCAGGAAGGCCCACCCTGCCTGCCAGCTGCTGCCTCCGGGCCCGGCTGCTGCCGGCTGAGCCCGGTGGTCTCGGGCAGAAGTGACGCCCCCGAGGCTCCCCCTGGACCAGTGGGGCCCACCTTGGGGACCCCAGGGGACAGCCAGCCTGTCTCCTCCCGGGTCGTCAGCGGCCCAGCTGACACTTGCAGCCCTTGCGGGCAGCACCCCATTCTCTCTCTCAGCGATGCTGCAGGGTGGCCCCCTGTGGCTGGTCTGGCAACCCGCCGGGGGCAGGGCAGCACCCGCAGAGGCGAGGGCATCTGGACGGAGCCTGGAACACAGCCCGGCCCCGAGGGGGGCCGCACCCTGGGCCCCAGCGCCTGTCCCTGGACTCGGAAGGGGTGACGACCGCACTGTTGTTCGGGGCCCGTCCGCCATCCTCCCCGGGCTGGTCGGGCGCTCACACCTCAGCCGCGAGCACGGCCCCCTGCCTGGGGTCGCTGGTGCGGGGCTGGCCAGCTCTTCCCTGGGCTGCAGAGGATCCCCCTGGGGGTCCCGGCGGCCCCTTCGCCTCGTGTTTGTGATGAGGGACGCGTCCGCCACCGGAATCGACTTCTCAGCCAAGACCGCAGCCCTGTCTCTCGTGGGCCAGTCTCGATGGTTGCGGTCACTCCGTGGAGCATGTCCACGGGTCTGGGTCAGGGGAGGCTCGTGTGGGCGCCTGTGTCGGCCAGTGGCCTGGTCATCACCCTCGCCTGCCGGGCAGTTCCGGCGGTCACTGGGGAGCCAGGGCCGGTGGAGGGGAGGGAGCCGAAGCCCGGAGGCGTGCTGGGGACACCCCCCACCGGCCCGGCGGGCGGCGTGCACATCTCACGCTCCGGCCGGCCGCCGCTGTGTCTGGGAGTGCAGGCTCGCGCATGCGGGGAGACAGGTGGCACCCAGGACGGCCACTCCCCACCCTGCAGCACGAGGTGGTTGGTGTTGGTGACCCAGCCCCCTCGGAAAAGTAAGATGAGCGACCACAGCGAACCCAGCGACCCAGTCGGCGAACACGAAAGCGGCAGGATCTCCGAGGATCTCTCTGAGACTCAGTGGGGGGATGGCGCCCTCGCCAGAGGGAAGGGCAGGCCCAGTGGCGTCTCCAGAATCCCACCCCCGCCCCGCCTGCTCGCCCTCCGCTGCACCCCGGCCTGGACCGGAACAAAGACCAAAGAAGGCGGCCAAAGAGGGAGGAGCTCCCGTCGCCCGGGCCGCCTGCTGTTCCCCCAGGCGCCCTCTGCAGCGGCCGCCGCCGGCCGGGCGCCCTGTCCTGACAGCGCAAGTGACTGTGACCAGTGACTCACGGCGTGTTTTTCTGCTCTTCTAAGAAACAACAACAAAAAGACACAAGTGTAAGTTATTGCTCAGCAATAATCATGTTGTTAGTACGAGTCAACAACATGTCTGACTTTCAGATAGCATTATTATGTTTTATATTTTTGTTTACTGTATATCGTGTGTGGTTTTATTTGGTATTTATTTGTGTTTTGAGGTCTTGTAACGTTTTTCTTTGTGTTTCTGATGCTGATAACTGAAGTCTGTAAGAATGTAGAATGTGCCGACCTTGGAAATGCTAAGCTGTCTCGTCAGAGGGAAATAAACCTGAGTAAGGACCCCCGGGCTCCGCGTCAGCCTGACTGGGCGGCAGGGCCGCGGCCCCGGGGGCGGGCACGGGCTCCCCTGGCGGCTGCGTCTGGGCGGGCGCTCGGGCGGCCCCACTCGTGCAGCCTCTGCCGGCACTGTCGTGAGACTCTCGGTGTTGGAGGAAGGGTCCCACGGGCTCGCTCTGCCCGGGCTGCCAGGCCAGCCCTGCAGGCGGCGGCTGTGACCTCGTGTGCCGGGCGGCCCTCACCGTCCAGGAGGCCGCAGACCGCGTCCCGCCCTTGCTGCCACCCCCAGCGGCGGGACTTCGGGCCCTTTGGGCCGCGGCCTCCCTCATCTGTCCGGTCACTGGGGCAACACCTGCCTCCTGTTTGCAACCAGCTGGTCCTTAAAAAGCTGCCCCAGCGCTGACACTGGGCTGGTGGGGGCTCCTGGAGACGTCTCCGAGCAGCCGCCCACGACAGGAGTGGGACGGGCTCCGTGGCCACCAGGCCCCTCCCCGGTTCAGCGCCAGCGCGGCCGGCCCCGCCACAGGCCGCCTGCGTCTCCCGGGGCCGCCCCCAGGTCACCCCGTGTGGGGCTGCCCCCAGCCCGTGCACACACCCCGGGAACTTCCCGGCTCCTCCCCCACCCCCTCTGCGCCACTGCAGGCCGCCACCACGGCTCCTCAGCTGCTGGAGGGCCACACTCACCCCCTTCTCCAAGCCATGGCTTCAGGCCCCTGGCCCCCGGCCACGGCAGGAGGGAGGGGCCCCTCCCTCCCGGAATGCAGGACCCGGCGCAGATGCAACCACACCGCTCCTGCCGTCCCGCGGGTGGCAGGCCCACCCGGGAGTCCTCCCCACCCCCATACCCACACCCTGCAGGGGAGCCTCCCGCAGGGCCGGATCCCCCAGTTCTTCCAGACACAGACCACCCAGC